ACTGCAGGCTAAGTAAAGGGCCCCCAAGTGACACACGCATAGGAAGGAAAACTCCAGCACAATGTCCTAATAAAATTCCATTTGGCTTCCTTAAGTTACTGGCCACAGATGAAGTTGCAGAAATCATCTTTACTTCCTACCATAAACTGAGGTGAGGTACTGCCAGGGCCGGCCCAAGCCATTCGTGGGTCCTGGGCTGTGGGAGTGCGGCGCATACACGGCCCCACCCCTGGGCGCCCGGCACATGCATGGCCCTGCCCCCCGCCTGGTCCAGCACCCCCTACAATAGGGCACCCCGTGTGGTAGCCCAGTCAGTTCGTAGCTTGGGCTGACTCTGGATACTGCCAAACAGAGCTGAAGAGCTGCTGCACTCAGCAGGTGGGCACAGTGACCTCCCTATATCCATTCCACCCCAAACACACTTAATTCAATCAGGTTAAAATGCGTGGATCTTGTGCTGAAAAGGAATGATAATAAATAGCACAAAGGTATTAGTGTTTACACAGCTGTAGTATTAACTATAATAGTGCTGATAAGCTTTTTGTGGTGAGGAATGTTCACAGATTCTCCTTGAAATGCATATCCATATTTACTTTCAACAACACAGAAAAAGAGCGCAGCACTGTGGGTGCTAAACCCAGCACTTACAGACTGCATCACTGACCAGTACCTATAGCAGGAAATTGGGGAAAAACTGTCGTGATCAAACTTCTGGATTGTTGCTGTGGTCCATGACAGCAAGATGGCCATGGGGAAGGGAAGAAGCAGGGCTGTAACAAGGGTGAGGCGAGTGAGGCACTTGCCTTGGGCGCACAGCTGACGGTGCACAGTCCTGCAGCTGAATGCCACATCTGGGGTTTCAGGAAGCGAGTGGGCTGCACTTGGAACACATAGCTGCTTGCTTCTGACAGCTTGTATTCCATCTGCATGTGGGATGTTTGTGTAGAGAGCCTCTACATCCATGGTGGCTAGGATGGTGTTCTATGGAAGATCACCAATGCATTGTAGTTTTCTCAGGAAATCAGTAGTGTCACGGAGGTAACTGGGAGTGCTGTTGGTGTAGGGTTTGGGTAGAGAGTCCACATATCCAGACAGTCCTTCAGTGAGAGTGCCAGTGCCCGAGATGATGCGGCGTCCGGGATTTCCAGGTTTGTGGATCTTGGGTAATAGATAGAACAACCCTGGTTGGGACTCTAGGGATGTGTCAATTTGTTCTTGTGCTTGTGCAGGGAGTATCTTGAGCAGATGGTGCAGTTTCTTAGTGTATTCCCTAGTGGGATCTGAGGAAAGAGGCCTGTAGAATTTGGTATTGGAGAGTTGTCTGGCAGCCTCCTTTAGGTAGTCAGGCCTGTTCAGGACGACAACAGCACCTCCTTTGCCAGCCTCTTTGATTGCAGATCTAAAGGTAGCCATCCTGCAGCAAAAAAACTTCAGGACCAGACTTCAAAGAGAATCTGCTGAGCTCCAGTTCATCTTCAAGTTTGACACAATCAATTCGGGATTAAACAAAGACTGTGAATGGCTCGCTAACTACAAAAGCAAAAGCAGCTTCTCCTCTCTTGGAATTCACACCTCCAGATCAGCTACTAGAAGTGGGCCTCATCCTCCCTGATTGGATCCACCTGGTCATCTCCAGCCTGATTCTGGCCTGCATATTTATACCTGCCTCTGGAAATTTCCACTACATGCATCTGACGAAGTGGGTCTTTGCCCACGAAAGCTTATGCTCCAACACTTTGGTTAGTCTATAAGGTGCCACAGGACCACTTGCCGCTTTTTCAGATTCAGACTAACACTGCTACCCCTCTGATATAGGACTGCTGTGCACTTCCTGAGCAGTTGGAGCTGGCGCATTCCGGGACTCTTATTGCATCCACTCCCCACTGCACAGGAAGGCAGCAGGGGGGAGGAAGTTGCCGACACACCACAGACCTAGCTGTTCAGGAAATGCGCTTGTTGTTTGGGGGAGGGAGAAGCAGTGCACATGCTTCCTGAGACCTGGACCTGGCATGCAGCTGCAGGATCCCCAGGTACTGGCCCCAGCTGCCTTTGTCTCCTCCACCTGGCCAGACCTCCCCCTCATGAGTATCCTACCCCAGCACCCATCAGCACCCAGTCCTCTGCCCCGACCAGCACAGTTGGGACCAAATTAGTGAGGCTTGGGGATTTTGGAGGGGTTGTTTTTTTGCATTTCACTTGTGTGGCCCCGACTGACTTTTCTGTGGGTCAATGACCTGCTACTCAAAACAGGTTCCCCGCCCCTCTCATAAAGACAATGCTGAAACCTTTTGTGTTTGACATAATATTTTATTTAAAAATGAAGCCTGGCCAACAAGCCCCCAATTGGGGCCAAGCCCCAATCTGGCTGCAGCATCATAAGACTTCTGCACCCAACCCCTCAAATCTGAGCCTATCATACATTGGAACTCCCTGTCCTGAGCCTCTCACATCCCCAAACTCCTGCGCCCCCATATCCTCATCCTTCTGCCACAACACTCCTGCACCATCCACACACCTCAAATCTGTGTCCTGAGCCCATCATACTCTCAGCCTCCCTGCCTTGAGCCCCTCACTTACCCAACCCAAACTCCTACACCCTCATATCCACAAGCCTGCGACTTGCTCAGCACCCCAACTCTCCACCTGAGCCCTGACTTTGTCTCTTATGGAATTACTAAGATTTAGAATTAGGAGCCACACCTAAATCCGCCACACTCCATTCGAGCTGGCAAATGCTGTTGCAGGATTTAGGGCTTTTACTGTAGGGGTATGTCTACACTACCCCGCTAGTTCGAACTAGCGGGGGTAATGTAGTCATCCGCAGTTGCAAATGAAGCCCGGGATTTGAATTTCCCGAGCTTCATTTGCATGAAGC